CCAGGTAGACCAAATTGCTTTTCTTAGTTTGATTTGTTCTTCACTCCCCTATCAAACACATCATCTTCTTCCAGTGGAGTAAAGCAGGCCTCATTCCCTCCACTCCACTTGGAGGCACCTGGTGTACTGGCTTTGATAACTGTACTCCTGATTCTCCATTTACAAGGCTGAGGACAGCCTCACGGGTGGGACTTGAGAAGCATCTGAAAGTTGCGTAGCTATAAATACCACAGATCACCTGGAAGTTTGGGGTGTGAAGGAAATGGTCTGGTAGCCAGTGGCTTCGGTAGAACCAGGCAACTGTTCTAAGGGAGGGGGTCAGGTGTCAGGGAGGAGCTCAAAAAGGAGGGTTCTCAGGCCGGGCGCGGTGGCTCACGCCTGTAATCCCAGCACTTTGGGAGGCCGAGGCGGGTGGATCACAAGGTCAAGAGATCAAGACCAACCTGGTCAACATGGTGAAACCCCGTCTCTACTAAAAATACAAAAAATTAGCTGGGCATGGTGGCGCGTGCCTGTAATCCCAGCTACTCAGGAGGCTGAGGCAGGAGAATCGCCTGAACCCAGGAGGCGGAGGTTGAGGTGAGCCGAGATCGCGCCATTGCACTCCAGCCTGGGTAACAAGAGCGAAACTCCATCTCAAAAAAAAAAAAAAAAAAAAAAAAGGAGGGTTCTACTCAAGTCCTCACCAGCATGGGACTGCTTCATTCTCTATTGGGACCATGACACCTTCCCAGATCAGGGTGGGACTGCAGGATACAAATGGGCTCAGCTGCTCTCAGCAAATGAATGCCTCCCTGAGCATGTCGAGAGGGGGCCCTTCCTTAGTTCCCCTCTTGGCCTTGACAGGAAGGAAGTGACCAAGGGACACGTATGAGAGGCCTCAGCAATTCTGAGTTTTGAATCCATAAGGAAGGAAGTAGCTGTCTGCCACTAATTTCTTGGAAAAGTGTAGCGAGAAGCTAGCTGTTGATTTTTGTTAGCACTGACTTCTGCAGTTATTATAGAACAGGCTCGGTATCTGGGAGATTAGAATGTCGGGAGCAGGTAATGAAAAATATACAACAAAAGACCCTTGTCCTCCAGATACCTGGCATTCTTTCTCCAAGCAAGATCCCAAAGTTGCTTTACCAGATTTGAATTTGCAACCTCCTTATTATGGTCCGTTAGGAACCTGTTGCTAGCCTGGGAGAAGAGTTCTCTTTTGCTTCTCGTTCTTGAGACCAGAACAAGTAAGTTGTAGATCATTCTTGCTTAGCAGAGTGGAAGGCCACAAAGGCTGGTATTCATTTTAATAGTTAATTCAAGAGAATTTTTTTTGTTTTTTTAGACAGAGTCTTGCTGTGTCGCCAGGCTGGAGTACAGTGGTGCAATCTTGGCTCACTACAATTTTTAAATTAGTGGAGGAAAATATTGCTCCATAGTGTGCAAAGTGGCCAGGGGAGGAGGAAGGGGAACGGGCAGGTTGGAGGGTCAAGCAGAAGAGCAGGTCCACGGGAACTGAGGAGCTCATTCACTCCGGCTCCTGCTTGCTTGCTGCTTCAAGACAAGAGTGTGTGCATGTGTTGGGGCTGTTCCTCTGCAGGTCTGTCCCCTGCCCTCCTGGGGAAGAGTCTGTTCTAGCTTGTCCCACGCTGCCTCCATTCCCCAGAAACCAGGTCTGGCTATGCTCTTTGACAGCTAAGGCCCTGGCCCACAGATCTGAGCACAAGACAAATGCAGGTGAATAAATGTACGTGTGAGTATGAGAGGAAGACAGGATGGAGAGGGGCTGGCCATCATGTTCCTGCCGAGCAGGTGGGATCCTTGGGTTTTAAAAATACACCCTCCCAAAGAAAACAAAGAAAAAAAAAAAATACACCGTCCCACCCTGCCCAACACAAATACACGACAGTTGTAATCTGAAAGTCGGAAAGCATGACAAAACATTTCGTATAAAAGTATTTTTTAATAAATCAATGTATTTCAATGTTGTAACATGATAGCCCAATGCTATATCAAGGTAGCAAAAGTGAAGATTCCTGGTATTTTCATATAAACACTATGAATGACAGTACACTTGCATTCAACTTCACAAGAAATTATCTTCAGGTCCATGAAGATTCTTTGACAGCTGTTAACACCTTTCAAACAGTAAAGATGTACGTGTATTGGAAGAGTAGACAATGAAAACCTCCTAACTGAGCTGTGCTCTAAAACCATACTGAAGAACAGGAGATACAATGGCTGGATGGCCAGCTTGCCGAACAAAATTCCAAATCTTTTAAAGAAAATACAGCATATAACAACGTTACAGAATATCTTACAGAAATGGAGTCATAAGGAGACACACAGATTAGAAGCCTGAAACAGTGGATGTGTTTCTACCCGTTTTGTGATGGATGTGGAGTCCTGCAGCTGTCTGTGGTGCTGAATCTCCTCATACACTCAGTGCTACCAATGGACTAAAACCAGAATTCCCTGCTCTGTACAAATGCTGGTGATGGGTAACTTGCTCTATTGCTGTGGGTCAGAGCAACAGCTGGCTGGAGTTCAGGCATCAAGAAGAGGCTAAGATCATACACCACTGCCTTCTACACTCCTACAAAGTCACACTTTCCAAAGCTGATGCTCCCCTTGTAGGGGTTAAAAAACCCCAAGGCTATTTAAAACAAACAGTGGAAACCAGAAGCTTCTGACCCGCTCACATGTATTACTGTCCAACCCACCATGAGAAGTAAGTTTCACCTGGTTATAACGATGAGACTCCATATCATATGTACATCAATGACCAGATTGTTCATACAGGGTTTTTCTTAACAGATCAGGTTGAGAATGATTCTTTTTCTCCAAGGACAAGAAAAAGCTGGCTAAATGCTAGCTAATTAAATCCATTTTCAATTTTGAACTGTAGAAAAGAACCTGACTTGAATGAGATTTTCTAAAGGAAGATATTTCTCAACCTCAGGTATAATTAGATTATAAGGAATCTCATATCCAGAATTTTATCTGCTGATTGTTAGTATGGTAATTGGCCTTAGGACACTATTTTTACTAGAACCCTTTACATTACTTTTAAACTCCAAATGCTGCAGATGAAAAGTAAATACAACAAAACAACAATTAAATCACTGTGTGCTGGTTTGCTGGATTCTGGTCAAGCACAGATGGGATGTTCCTGATATTCACCAAGAAGTGTCTAACTAATGGCTACTCTCTGTGTCAGTAGCCTGGGTTTAAATCATATATACTCGAATGAATTAGAAAAACTGTACTCCCCACATTATTAAAAATATTACAAGCAAACTGTATCAAAGGCTTTGTACTAACCTGGGTTTTGGTGACAGGACTCCTCAGTGAACAGGTCACCGCTAGAGCCTTAGTGTTTCGCCCCATATCTTATTTTTAGACCTGAACCAAGTCAACGTCTCATCAAGTTGATATATTCCTTTCTTCTGTCATACCTCTTGAAACAAGTGCTCTGCCCCCTAAAGAACTGAGAGTAATTTGTAAAGGCTTTCCTCTCTGGAAACAGAACAGTCAAAGCATAAATTAGGTTAAGTGGCTTCACTGTCCTCAGGCCAATGCTTATAACCCAAGGTTTATTTTCCCTATGAACAGGGTGTGCTTAAGTTGATAAAATGAATCAAAATCAGCTTATGGAAAAGTTAAAAATATAGTTTAATGAAAGGTATGTATCCTCACACAGAGAAATAGCAAACGGTCCCATCTAAAAGTTTAAATAAATGTCAGTAACTTTAAAACTAACTATATTTTATATATATATATATATATATATATATATATATATATATAAAGCTGAAGTCACTGCCTTGGATAATTTTATACTACATCCAATATTTTATGGAGGACATTCATTATTAAGGCAGAAAAATTGAATTTGACATGTAATGACTTGGTTCTTACATCCAAGGGTCAAACTAGGAGTAGACTTGAGCACACAGATTCCTTGCTAACAAGGATTTATCTGTGGCGACGATTTCATTCTTAGAGTATGTTACGTAAGAGACATACATTTGAGAGAAGATAAAAATATGAATCTTAAGACACACAAATATGATTTTTCAACAATTGGTCAATGAGACTAGGCATTCTATTACGACGTAAAATGACTCCCATGACAAACTCCAACGTACTCTTTCTGATGTGATGCATAAAGAGTATAAAATATCAAAGCATTACCTTTTTGGGGTAGACTTTAGATTCTAGTTTTCAAGGTCTAGTATAAAAGGTAGCCCGAATAGTTAAAAGCAGTTGAATATCAACTCATACTGCTACTCGGAAGGCTACCACTTAGGATATTCCTACACCATCAAAATCCTGTGCAAGGAGGAAAGAAATGTGTATTAAAATAAAAATGAACCCCTCCCCCAATGCATGTGCAAAACACTTGTCAGTTACTACTAAGAATATCTTTAACAAGAAACAACTATGGAAAGATGGTATCAAAGTCAGAGAGACGTAGAACATACCACCCTGCCTACGTGGACGGATACACCATGGGCACCTTGGGAGATAATGCTACTCAGTGGAAGGGGGAGTGAGGAGGACCGGACCCAGGGTTCCAAGCCCTCAGGGCTGTGTGCTCCTTCACCTCAGGCCAGTCTGGTTCTCCGCATCCTGGTGCCAACTTGAACCAAATAAACACAAATGGAAAAGATCATTCTTAAGCAGGTGATGGTGACTATAACTGTTTAAGTACCTTTTTGTGTGCCTATTAGTTATGCCACAGATCTGGCAATTGTCAGAAGTATACAAAGATTACCTGCCTAATTTTTGAAGACATGAAGATTCTCTTCTTTCATGGTGGCAGGAGTCCACACAAGATTTGTAAACAGCGATACAAAATCCTGTAAACATAACTTAACAGAGCTTGTATAAAACAGAAGTAAATCCAGATTTACACGTGGGTAAAAAAAACAGAGGGCAGCTTCTTACAAAGTTCTCCCTTCTGCGCCAAGTGATTTTTTTTTTTTTTTTTTTTTTTTTTTTTTTTTGATTATAAATATAATCCTGAGCTGAAAAACTGGGATTTGGGGGAGAGCCATCTTTGCATACAAAATATCCAAAGGATGCTTACTCTGTTTACTTTTCTCTAGTGATACTCAACTGCCAGAGACAGTTCTGAATGTGTGATTTTGGAGACGTTTATAGTTTAGTGTGGCGCCCGGGTCTGGAGCCGGCTGCAGTGCTCGCCATGGAAGCAGATGCGGCAGCATCCTCTGCTTCCTCCAGTTCATCCTGGAGCTCTTGGCTGACACTAGACTGCAGGGCTGCGGGCGTGAGCCACTCCTTTGGGAGGCAACTCTGTAGAAAGGGAATACAGGAGCTGAAGTAGGCAAGTCGATTGATCCAGCGAGGAATCTCTTTCCCACAAAGAATCTACAGAGGAGAAAGAGTTCTGTATTAGGCAAGAGAGGTGAAGGTTATCTGGTCCACTGAGGAGTGGAGGGTGGGAGGAGGGAGGTGGCTGCACAGACAGGCCATGGCAGACCAGCGTTCGGCAGCGCCACTCCAGGCTTTCGATAAGCAGCTCTTTTCTCAGGACCCGGGGTCCCTACTGTTGGCTCCATTCTTTCCTTTCTAAAGAATCTTGTCAAGTTGCTTACTTTTGGTAACTGTGAAATCAAGCTAATTCCACTTGGCTTCTTTCTTTGATTTCTGCAACTGCTATGAGACACCCTGAAAAGTACTTTGAATACATAGAAGACACTTGTTAATACATTATTAGAGTAATAGAAGCCCCAGGAAATTAGAGTCAATCTTGGATATTTTCCTATTTGTGAATTCTCCTTTCTCACAGATACTTTTCTGCTTTACTCCAGTGTCTATCATTCCATTTTTCCTGGTCTACATTTTACCCCTTTACTTCTCTTCCTGACCCACTTGTTTCAAGGAGCTCATCCTGGTTGAAGAAAAAACAGCCTGGGTGATGGACTGTCTCAGAGGGGAAAAAAAAGTGTAGGCCGGGCGCTGTGGCTCATGCCTGTAATCCCAGCACTTTGGGAGGCTGAGGTGGGTGGATCACGAGGTCAGGGTTACCCGCCTGGCCAATATGGTGAAACCCCATTTCTTCTAAAAATACAAAAAATTAGCCAGGTGTAGTGGCACACACCTGTAGTCCCAGCTACTTGGGAGGCTGAGGCAGGAGAATCGCTTGAACCTGGGAGGCAGGGGTTGCAGTGAGCCAAGATCCTGCCACTGCACTCCAGCTTGGGCAACAGAGTGAGACTCTGTCTCACAGAACAAAACAAAAGGTGTTTTCCCAAATGAAGACCTGGCTCTGTGACTCCTCTGTAGAAGCAGGCCTGCAGTCAGACAAGGCATGGAAGCCTGGCCAAGCTTCAGTCTGAGACACTAGCAGGGGGAGAAACGGGTGCCAGGAGGAAACCCTCCCAGCTGGTGATCTGCTGCTTCTATTCGCCCACTTCCCATCCTTGTACCGTCCTTAGGACTCTTGAGCCCTTCTCCCTGCTCTTATTTCAAATAGTAAGAACTGGGTCTTTTATGACTCGAACTTTATTCCTTATTATCCTTTCTCTTGTGCAGACAATGGACTGGGCTTAGTGCCTGCCCCACTGCAACTCTGTTGTTTCTCACTCCAGTAGTACCAAAGATTATGATCATGTGATCTCAAAGTACCATCTTAGATATGTGCGTATCTTAGGTAACGTTGCAAAGAGGTTTCAAAGTACCCTGTATCTAAAAATTCGCTAAATGTTAATAAGCTGCCACCTATCATTATATAACATATACCTTTTCTCCCTAAAATAGTTACATTTATTTTAAATAGTATGACTTTGTCTCAACTATACAGAAAGTGAGTTGGTCTCACTTGAGGGAAGGTAACACGTACTACACTTTTAATTACCAAGCACTTATCACAGTACCTGGGAGTACACGGTGGCTCATGCTGTGTGTGTGTGGGCGTGGGTGTGGGTGAGTACGCGCACCTGTAGTTTCAGCTACTTGGGAGGCTAAGGCAGGGGGATTGCTTGGGTCCAGGAGGCTGAAGCTGCAGAGAGTCAAGACTGTGTTACTGCACTACAGTCTGGGTAACAGAGTGAGATTTCACAACAAAAACAAAAAGGAACGTGTACATCGGCTGGGCACGGTGGCTCATGCCTGTAATCCCAGCACTTTGGGAGGCTGATGTGGGTGGATCACAAGGTCAGGAGTTTGTGACCAGCCTGGCCAATATGGCAAAACCCCGTCTCTACTGAAAATACAAAAATTATACGGGAGTGGTGGCACACACCTATAGTCCCAACTACTCGGGAGGCTGAGGCAGAAAAATCACTTGAACCCGGGAGGTGGAGGTTGCAGTGAGCCGAGATGGGGCCACTGCCCTGTAGCCTGGAGACAGAGCAAGACTCCGTCTCAAAAAAAAAAAAAAAAATGTCTATCAACTAGATCTGGGAGACAGCTGGGCTGAGCAATGACTTTGTACGATACCATTCTCATCTGTCTACTCATAAAAATGCTGGCAAACAGGCTGGGCATGGTGGCTCACGCTTGTAATCCCAGCACTTTGGGAGGCCGAGGTGGGTGGATCACTTGAGGTTGGGAGTTCAAGACCAGCCTGGCCAACATAGTGAAACCCAGTCTCTACCAAAAATACAAAAATTAGCCAGGTGTGGTGGGTGGTGGCACACACCTGTAATCACAGCTACTCAGGAAGCTGAGGCAGGAGAAAGGCTGGAACCCAGCAGGCAGAGGTTGCAGTGAACAAAGATCACGCCACTATACTCCAGCCTGGGTGACAGAGCAAGACTCCGTCTCAAAAAAAAAAAAAAAAAAAAAAAAAAAAGGCACTGGCAAACAATATTATATTTTATACCTGAGACCTATTTAGAGATATCTTCATATTTAGAGGTTAATAAGTTGTGACTTTAGAATATTCAGGTTAATGTGACAGCCACTGTTGCCTGTTCAACAGCCATTTCCCTCATTCTCCTTTCCAAGTCCTCATTTCATTCAGTGATCTACTCTCCTCCATATATCCATGTGATACAAGTGGGACTGACTGCATTCCAATAGCTAAGGGTGTGGCTTGATTAGCCTAAAACAGACTTCTTTTTTTTTTGAGATGGAGTTTCGCTCTTGCGACCCAGGCTGGAGTGCAATGGCGCGATCTCGGCTCACTCCAACCTCCGCCTCCTGGGTTCAGGCAATTCTCCTGCCTCAGCCTCCCGAGTAGCTGGGATTACAGGCACGCGCCACCATGCCCAGCTAATTTTTGTATTTTTAGTAGAGACGGGGTTTCACCATGTTGACCGGGATGGTCTCGATCTCTTGACCTCGTGATCCACCCACCTCAGCCTCCCAAAGTGCTGGGATTACAGGCAGGAGCCACTGCGTCCGGCCAAACAGAGTTCTATTTATAGCCACCTGGTTTTGTAGAAGTTTTACTGAAACATAGCTGTGTCTATTTGTTTATGCATTTTCTATGGCCCCTGAGCTACAATGGCAGAGGCAGAGTTGGGACTATGAGTAATTCACAAGCCTAAAATATTTATTATCTGGCTCTTTCAAATAAAAGTGTACCAGTCCTTGGTCAAGCCCAATTTTATTTATTTACCTTTTTTTTTTTTTTTTTTTTGAGACAGAGTCTCACTCTGTCACCCAGGCTGGAGTGCGATGGTGCAATCTAGGCTCATTGCAACCTCCGCCTCCCAGGTTCAAGTGATTCCCTTGCCTCAGCCTCCGAAGTAGATGGGATTACAGGTGCGTGCCACCACACCCTGCTAATTTTTGTATTTTTAGTAGAGACAGGGTTCCAACATCTTGGCCAGGCTGGTCTTGAACTCCTGACCTCGTGATCCACCCACCTCGGCCTCCGAAAGTGCTGGGATTACAGGCGTGAGCCACCACACCTGGCTATTTACTTTTAAGACAGAGTCTCAGTCTGTTATCCAGTCTGGAGTATGGTGGCGCAATCTGGGCTCACTGCAACCGCTGCCTCCCAGGTTCAAGTGAGTCTCCTGCCTCAGCCTCTCCCAGGTAGCTGAGATCACAGGCACGCACCACCACACCCAGCTAATTTTTGTATTTTTAGTAGAGATGGGGTTAACTGGTTGGCATGTTGGCCAGACTGGTCTTGAACTCCTGACCTCAGGTGATCCGCCTGCCTCAGCTTCCCAAACTGCTGGGATTACAGGTGGGAACCACCATGCCTGGCCAAGCCAATGTTTTTAAAACTTTGAGTCATGACCCATTAGTAGATCATTTAGCACTGCTACCTGAATTTTTTAAATTTTAAATTTTTTTTTTTAAAGACGGGGTTTCACCATGTTGGTCAGGCTGGTCTTGAACTCCCGACCTCAGGTGATCTGTCTGCCTTGGCCTCCAAAGTGCTTGGATTACAGGTGTGAGCCACTATGCCCGGCCTGCTACCTGAATTTTTAAAATAAAATAGATTGCAGGTAGTGAGGTAACTATGACATGTCTTAGTTACTTGCCTGTGTGTGTGTGTATAAACTGGGTTACAATGTAAAATGTATTTTTTACAGTGGCTAGTGATCAAATGGTATTTGGTTTATATAGCAAAATGGATTTTGCATTTAAGCTCCAATCCAGCAATACCTCTTCTAGAAAATCAAGCATACAGATACAGTGGCAAAAATAAAAAGATGTATGTACAGGGTTATTTATTACAACACTTTTTGTAATAGCAAAAGACTAAAAGTAACTAAGTGCTATTAATAGGCTGAATAAATTATGGTACATCCACACAAGGAAGACTATTCAGCTAATAAAAGGAGTGAGGACTATTTCTACATACCGCTACAGAATGCACTCCAGGATATACTATTAGTGAAAATAGCAAAGTGGAGAAAAGTGTATACAGGATGCTCTTGAAATATAATAGTGTAACAGGAAGAGAATAAAATTACAGACATTCCCATTCCAAAAGGGAGAAAATGGAAGGAAAAAAGGAGTTACTAGTCCCAAGCAATTTTGGAATCCACCTTCGAGGAATCCAATTTCAAGGCCGGGGAATAATCTTCCATGGCCCTTGGCTCTGCCCTCTGGAGATTCTATCCTTTGAGTTATCCTTTTTCTCCAGCCTATTAACTGCCTACAGAATTTAGACAGTCCAAGTGCCTTCTTTAATGTTGTCCCCTTTCCAAGCTGGCAGTGTTTCTGCTAACAGAGAATTCTCAAAACATTGTGGTTCTCGTGGAAGAAGAAGAAGAAACCACTGTGGCTCTCTTGCATATGTCATGGGATTGAATCCATTAGAAAAGATGTTCCTCCACGGGTCTTTCCTAAGTAATCCCATCTCAAGTCTTGGTTTCTGTTGAGATGGCTGAGAGGATCCACAAATCACATATTTAATTTCTACAGCAGTTAAAGAGAAAAAAAAGAGGAGGCCTAGT